GTTATCGTAACTGAGGCCACGACAAATCCGCAAGCCATGAACTGGCGGCACCGCGGACACGGACCAACAACCTGTCAGGAGAGATGCAAGGGGGGTGGGGGGGGCCAAGGTTACCTCATTCTGTCACTAATCTACACGGTGGAACGTTTCGGCTGTTACGTTAAGGGCCGTGTCACATCGCAGAGTGGCGAGAGGCCACGAGGTGGGTGGGGGGGGGGGTTCAGTGGGGTGTGGTAACACAGAGTCCACGTAAAAAAAAACAGGCCATCAAAGGTCTTCAGGTATTACACTTCTGATGTCACTTTTCATCCAATCAGCAAAATTACAGCCTGGGTTCTCATACAGTGGGCAATATGAGAAGATATAGGGCATATTCACAAAAAGATAGAGTGAAGCGTTACAACCCTGTGATGCCATCGCCCGCTGAGTGCTGCCCTGCCCCACACAAGAGGCCCCATCGCTGCCCACACAAGAGTGACCTGAAAAGCTGTCCAGCAGAAAACAGCACGGCAGCGCCAAGAAATCGGCCGAGTGGAAAGGAAACCAGGCCTTCTTTTCAGAAGGCCACTAAAGAGAGCAGGTGCGCATGGAACCACACGCACAGAACCACACGCACGCACGCACAGAACCGCATGCACGCACAGAACAGCCAGCGACACGCAGGTTAAGGGGACAGACCTATAACCCAAAGACTGCCGATTCAAGCTCCTGAGAAGTTCTGTTGTTGGACAGCTACATGAGTAATGCCGCTTCAGATAACAGCAATATACCACCACTACTACCCAGAGCAGATACATAGACAGCTAAATGTCCTACAGCACAAAAAAAGCCCCGTCACTCTCAGCGAAACACAACCATGCAGCCTGAATGTGTGAAAAAGCCAGAGTCACAAAGGCCCCTCCCATCACCGCGGGGTCTTCATACCAAAAGGGCAGCACGGCATTCCGCTTAAAGCCTCGCTTGCTTCACAAGCCTCGAAACTCCACTGCCACCCCACTTAAAATAGCTTTAACTCACATGGCTGCTTTTACAGCCCCCACTGCAGCCAGTGAGGATGTGAAACTCTTCCCATTTAGCAGGTCCAGCTACTCGCTGTAAGCCAAGCATTTAACTCTGAGCAGTGGTGGTGGTGGGGGGGGGTTTCACACTGTACTAAACCAGTCTCCATGCTCCCTGGGGAGGCTGGCAGGTTTCTAGGCTAAGGTAGGGAGGAGCCACGCAGGGAACATGGCAGCAGCTGGGGGGGGACAGAGGGGAGGGCATCCCAGAGAGCAGCACACGCAGCCTGCCAGGCAGCCGGCAGAGACGAAGCCACAGGCAGAGCCGAAGCGCACAGCAGACCCGCCATCGCGACTCGGGCCGCCCCAGAGTAACAGAGGCCGAACACAGCTGTGCTACACCCTGCATCCAGGTCACATTCCTGCGGCAGCGCCATCTGTTCACAGGAGGGGTCGGGCACGCCAGCCGCTTCTGTCACAGGCGGAGAGGCCGCGGCCACAATATGGCAAGACAAAAGGGCCAGCCCCGGTCTCCCATGATGGGCAAAGCAATGGCCCACCCAGCGGGCTGTGGAACGGTGCCTCTCTGCCAGCCGTCTGACAGACAGACAGCTGTGTGTGTCCCACTGCCACCCGGACCTCTGTTGCGGGGCTTCACAGAGAGAAACGCGAGGCAAGGCTTCAATGGTATCAAGCCAAACCTCAGCTGCAAACCCACAGCACTCAGGGCCATAAGCATGCAGAGGCCTGAAAACTCATATTTATACCTCACACCTGCAACATGGGACAGAGAGAGAGACAGACAGACAGAGGGAGGGAGCAGAGGGGAGAGAGACAGGGAGCAGAGGGGGGAGAGAGAGAGAGAGAGGGAGGGAGCAAGGGAGGGAGAGACAGAGAGGATCCCTGGTTGAAAGAGAGAGAGAGAGACGGATCAGGTCTCTGTGCAGAGAGACTAATGCACTGGGGGAAAGACTCTGGAAGCAGCAGCTAAAGCTCCACCTCACCAAGTCCCCCCCCCTCAACCTACACAGACCCACAGGAGCTGGGTGGCCTGGGGCTGAGCTCTGCCGCAGCGTTGATATGCAGACTGAAACCGGGGGAGGGATCTCAGGCGTTCCTTTGGGCACTCGGGTTAAATGCAGCCTTTTTACAGCATAATTATCAGCACCTGCTTCGAGAGCCTTTAAAGGAACCCCAGCGCGTTTAACATCCCCTTCACAGAGCCTGCGAGTGCCACACATTTCACAGCTAATGCTGTTAAACAATAATCCATTCGGAATTATTTAGAGGAATTTCATTATGATCAGTGAGAATTTCTGCCGGTACTTTGAACCTCTAGTTCACCCTGTTTTGTGGTGCTCGCTAACCCTGGAAATGGGCACTCACATACGCGATATTGACAGTCAATGTGGTGGTATGGGGCGAATATTTATTCTGAAAATGTCAGCATCTTGTTTGTCTATGAGACATTTGAATTTTGATACTTAAACAGCTTGAACAACCAGGTCCTATTTGTATCAGTTAGCAGAACTGCTGACAGCAGAGAAAATCAGCACTGTCGCACTTCACATTTAAAGGACTTAAACGTATCGCCGTGTTTTTAACACAACATTCCTCAAGGCCCATTTTGTGCACCGGACACCTACTGTGACCTCAGTGAACCGTAAAACAGTCTGGAACCACGGGAGCTCAAACTGGCATCTTCTCTCTGCAGGCACGCCCCCCCCCCACCAATCCTGCTAAGGAAACAAATCAAAATAGTGGGGCGAGGCGGTGTAAAGGAACGTTATCGCCACGAGGCAGGACCCGGACGCCCGGCGCCACTCAGAGAGATGGGAGAACACTGGGCAACATTAATATGCGTCTGCAGCAACAAGACTACACCAGCCTATTTGGCGCCGATTTGCATTCTACATGAAATGTTTCAAATTAAAGTTCTGATTAAACAAAGAAAATGAACAACTTCTGAAGCTGTGCTTCAGAAACTGCCCTGTCTCACTGCCCACTGCACATCCCCTCCCCTCCGACCGACAGGCTTACAAAAACTGCCCTCTGGATTATAGCGAATACAGCCAAGGGACGGCGAGCTAAAATAAAGTCAGAGAAACATTCGCCTGTGGCTGAGCTGTAGGTAAACATTAGGGAAACCACATGGATCAACACAGAGTGTTCTTCACACTGGCTAAGACAACGTAAGAGAGACACCAGGCTCCCAGCAAGGAGGATCACGCAATACAGCCATGCCTGACCGACGGGGGAGGAAAGAGAGAGATTGGATTCAGGACACCTTGGCTTTGGGGATCATACCAGTACATCGTCTCTGAAAGCCAACCTGAATGCCATCACACCCAGCTAATTCCAAACACAAACCATCGCTATGTTTGGAGCAGGAGAGCAACACAATTGATAAATACTTTATGAGTTTAGTGAGTTACCAAAGATAATTAGGACGCTCTCACAAGCAAACAAATATTGAGAACAAACCGGCAGCAGACCTACTTGAGTGCACTTATGGGCGTCAAGACGTTTACCTTCATCCACTGTAATAGAGTCTTTGATGGGCTTGTTTTTTCATTCGCTTTAGCTGCACTCCCCTTTCACAGCCGCTGTTAGAGCCCATCAGCGTGGGACACATTCTGCTCCTAAAGAAAGTGCCCTGGGGAGGCGCAGCCTGGCCTTCCTGGGCAGGATGGCACGGCCCTCGGTGCTGGCTGGTTCTCACCGCCTCGCACCGGCCTCACCAGGCCTCCGGTATCCATGCGTGTGAACAATCTGCTCGCTGGATGCTCCATTTAAGGGACAAAGGGGCCTTTTAATCGTCGGCATCAGACATTCAGGGACGCGTCGTGGCTGTCAAGGGCTCTCAGGAATATAGTTAGTAAATCTGGAAGGTCCTCTTGGAGGCTTTGCATACATTTGGGGGTGACCCCCCCTGCAGACTGCCACGGCTATCCCCCTTACGGGATTAGGCAGCTCTGCCGGCCTGCGCAGAGGAGGCGGCGGCGGCCCATGTCTGCCCTGAGGAGGAGGAGGAAGAGGAGGCCCACGTCTACCCGAAGGAGGAGGAAGAGGAAGAAGAGGAGGTCCCTGGCTGTCTGCCCGCCCACACCTGCCTGGATGAGGAGGAGGAGGTCCCTGGCTGCCTGCCCATGCAAAGGAGGAGGCGGCAGCCCACACCTGCCTGGATGAGGAGGAAGAGGTGGAGGAGGCCCACACCTGCCTGGATGAGGAGGAAGAGGAGGTGGTCCCTGCCCGCCCACCCAAAGGAGAATGAGGAGCCTGCCCGCTTGAAGGAGGAGGAGGAGGCGGCCCCCAGTCGTCCTCCCACCTGCTAGCAGGATTAGATCGGGAGCCGCTTGAGGTGAAGTGGCTCTCCTTCGCTCTGCCAGCAAGGTTCTGAGGGTCTCTCCTCGGAGGCGGTGAAACCAGAGCCAGACGCCGTCAGATTACGACCTCATCTCTAGCACCTCGTCTCTCTCTCTCCCCCCCCCCTCCCTGCACGGTCTAAAATATTTAAATGGCTGCATGTGAGATCAAAAGGATTGTCGGGAGAGGGTTTCAGAAAGCAGACGGACACGGCCCGCTCTCCAAGGCGGCTCTTATAACAAAGGCAGAGCACAATGCCAGAGCATAATGCTTCCCTAAGAGAAGGAGAAAAAACTCCAGGCACCAGGCACTTAAATAAGGAAGTCCCTAATCACAGCAGCTAAACATCCTTTCATATGGAGAGGCGAGTCTCCGCACCAAACAATGGCGTATGCAAAGGTGATGGAGTATGCTGGGGTCTCGAAGAAAAGGTTCAGAGAAGCCTAACAAAGCAGCGGGGTGCATACTGATACATTACACAGCAATAAAGTCAGTCAGAGGAGCTCATCTGAGACGCCAACTGCAACTTCATCCGGAGTGCATGTGCACACACACACACACACACACACACACAGACACACAATAGAGGGAGACTTAAGAGAAAGGAGTGATAAATATTTTTAAAGAAATATTTACAGATTTGGGGCTGTCAGCTGCCAGAGGCCAATACGGAGAACATCGCTCACACAAATTAACGCTGAAGACTGTACTTCCACCCCAGGAAAACGCAGAGACAGCAGAGGCTCATCATCTGCAAGGCAGAGAGAGAAAGGCAGAATCGGAAGAGAAGCAAGTCAGAAGAACTCAAGATTGTTCCAGAAAAAAAAAAAAAAAAAAAAAAACAGAGACAAGCCGAAGACAGATGCCTCGCCCCTGGAAGACAGAAGGCGCCTCAGAGAGCGAGCTGGGGAGGCGGGGGGGGGGCAGAAGAACCTACACCAGCTTTAACAAGATCTTAATGAGAATGTCATCAAGGTAGGCTTTGGCATCATTTATGACAGGAAAGTAGAAAAACTCACATCAGGGAGATGACAGTTGAGACTGGAGCGAGTGATCACTTCTGATCACTAGTGACGCCCTCATTACAGCAGGAATGACACAGTTTTCCAGTGGAGCGTGACCAGCATGAGTGGCTACAGTGAGCCTGACGAAGGTTGGGGAGGCCAGGAAATAAAGACAAACGGGAGAATTCTTTCTGAGGCCCTTAACTCCTGTGTACTTCTTGAAAGAACGTTCACAAAAGCACCAACATTTCAGCTTCATCAAACACGCTTTTTTTTTTTGATGCACGCCGGCTTTCAGGAGCTCTGCCCGAACCGTCTGCAGGTTTCTCTTAAATTAGGGCCACATCTAAGGCTCTCAACATATCAAATGCCATGTTCAAACAGCAGGAAAAAAAAAATAGTAGAGTAACTGCTTTTTAAAGTGCGTTCTTTAAAACCCGAGATGTCTCTGGGGAATGTTCTTCGCTTTTAAGAGGCCATTAAGAGAAAGATCCAAAGCGCTGCAAACACCGGCATCGCTGGAGAGGCTGACGTTCGACACGTTTCACCGGAGCGGCTCCGAAGTGGCTGACAGCAGCCAGAGTGCTTCGAGGCTGACGGAGGTCAGACAAGGTCACGGATGCCCAGAGACAGACAGCCATTAGGGCAATGGACCATCTCACATTATAGAAGTTACACTGACTGCTTAATCAGGTCACCTGGGAGGCAAAAAAAAAATATACAGAAAACAAAACAAGCAGAGGGGGATTAAATAAGAAGGGGAGCAAATATAATCCTCGCAGAAATATTGGCACAAGTTTGTCAACTAACACCGACTGTTGATTTTAAGCTAGAAGCATGCTGTGAAAACAACATACGGCGATGCTCACAGGCGACGTGCAAGCATCAGGAATAGCAAACGTACGACACCTACACACGCTGCGATAGGCGCCACAACGGCATGCGAGACTCCCCACATCAGAGCAGCTTGAAAAGCAATAACATGCCTCAACTGGAGAAGAAAAAACTGTTGACCAATCAACCCCATCAGGGGCTCAGACGTACTGCCCTAAAATCGAATACCAGATAAAAAAAAACGAGCCTGTTAATTGGATGGACCCAAAGTGCTCATGCAGCACCCCTGCTGTCTGCCTCAGCGAATTGTGTCGGAGGGGCCTTGGGGCCGAGCGTGCACAGGAAGGTGAGGACAGCAGCTGAAAGGCCGGCTACAGACTGTTGGCAGAGAGGGGGTGCACTCAGGGTCATGGCTAACTGCAGTGCGCGAAGACCCAGGCCTGGACGGACATGTCAGCACGCTCTCCGTCTTTCAAACACAGCGAGCGCGCCACGAGATTCCCATGCGAGTACAAATGCAGATTACCCCCCCCACCCCCACTCACATAAACTACATCCCTAGTTTCTGAATGCAACAGCATAGATTTCTTATTAAAAAAAATAAACCGTAATAAAACCAGGTGCATTATTTTGAATACACATGTAACTACCTCAGTCCAATAACTCCTAAGGAGCCTCTGATTTGCAGGCAGTCAAGGTGTTTTATCCAAACAGATCGGCAACGGGCGCATTCCTGCCATTTATCCTGCGTTTTTGCCCAGAGGGAGCTGGTTTCATAACCGAGCCGTTTAGAGGGCGAGCATTTGGAAACACAAAGGCCATGAAGGCCAGGTCTGCCTGCTTGTAGGAAGAAGCCGGACGATTCGATTTGACAGGAAGGCAACCTCCGGATACAACAAGGTCATCTGAGAATGGCAGAGTTTATAAACAAGCATGCGACTGATCAAGAATGCAGACAGGTTCAGCCCTGGGATAAAAGAAGTTGTGATCTCTACCATACAGACTTCATAACACAAACTGAACAAGTTTGTTAAATGGAAATAAACGGGGAAAAAAAAAAATCTGTAAACTTAAGAAAAAACAAAACTGTTGTGATACAAGTATTGCTTTGTAAAAACCCTTAACACACTATTCTTCAGTTATTTATTACTATGAACAAAAGCATACTTCTGCCTTTTTGGGGTGGTAAATAAGGAATGTTCTGAACTTGGCATCTGTGCATGGTAACAATCGGGAGTATGTGGCGTTTCCATGTTAAGTTACTTTTCAGCGCATAAGTACCACAGACCTGTGGGCTGCCTGGCAGCCAAACCCAGTGGGTACGACAGCAGGGCACCTGCTCTCAGCGAATCGATTCAAGTGTAAAAAGACACCCCTCTTGACCCCAAGGTCCATAATAAGTGCCCAACCCCCCCAACATGAAGCGACAAAGTGCCCATTGAGCCTCGGTGCACAAGAAAGAGGAGGCAGGAGAGGAGAGTGTCCATCCCAGCTCTGTCAAAGCTTAACCATACTGGAAATGCAGCCAGTACTGGAGATGAGAAAAAGGACCCTGATTCCAGTTGGACAGTTTTCAAAAACAAACAAATAGACACGCAAACAAAACCAACCAAGGAGGAAAACTGGGTCTTTCAAAGCCAAAAGTGAGAAACCCTCACCCAGAGTATGAATCACTGTACAAGAAGGGGAGAAACTAAATCTAGCAGCCATTATTAAAACCTTCAATAAACATACCTCAAAAACAACAAGTCTCTAAACAAAGCCGGATAGGCAGGAATACACTGAGCCTACAAACAGGGAGACTTGCAAGAACCAGACAGACATCCTGGAGGAGGGCAACTTAATACACACAGACAGCAATCCTACTCCATCGCCTTTACCAAGAATAATGGTGGGTGAAGGGGGAAAAAATACCGGCTGAGCTGTATGAGAATTTAAACCGTAATCACAAAAATCCACCGGGGAGTGCAGACTGTCTTTGACATCTGATCTGGACTGAATGTCAAGACAGCTACAAGACTAAAGAAAAAATTGAAATCGGGGATAGGGGCAATGGGGGGTGACAGGAGAGGAAGAGTCAGTCTCTCAGCCCCGGCTTAAATGACAGCCACAGTGGAGGAAGAGCTGATCCGTGCTAACGATTGACTTTTAGTCAATACGCCACATCCCTGCAGCTCCACAGGAGTGGCACAGAGCGGACAGGTGGCTCGGGGCCCGTCGCCGCGGCGCTCGGCTAAGTGGGATGAGGCCGCCGGATCAAGCCCGGCTCACGTCAGCCGTGTCTCGCTCGTGGCGGCGGCGGCATGCAGGAGGGTCTGGACAGCGGCCCCATTACGCCCATTAGACAGCTTTTCACACGGGTTTTTGAAAAGGCTGCAGATGACATCCACTGAATAATGGAGAAGGAATGACACATCTGTTTGTCCTGAAGTCCTGGCAATGATGGCCATCTTCATTACCAGGCTGGCTGCGCACATCTGAAAGGGGGAGGCAATCGGCGCCCCGCCCAGCAGAGAATCGGGGCCGTCTGGGGTCTCTCACTGCAGTTTTCAACACTGGACATGTGCCCTGGGGGAACCCAATAAGATCACATGGGCTGGGTGGGTGATGGTGATTTCACAATGGCCTCAACCCCCCCCGAAGAGCAGTTAGACCAATCGTAGCCCTTAACCCCGCTTTCACAACAGGCCACAGAAATTCTCCATGCAAAGAGTCCCGTGGTGAAAATTACTGGTTTAAATGCAACATATCATGAGAGAAACTCAATTACGCATCAAGAAATCATAGACATCACATAACACAATACGGCATTGACACTTTCATGATTTTGATAAACAAGCATCGTGTTTTTAAATTGAATAGATTTAAGATGAATTTCATGCCAAATAAGTTTTTCATACTGTAAACTGATGGACAAGATTGTTTTTTTTTTTTTTTTTAATTATAATTCACCCAATGCAAGCTCGATCCATGTTTGAGAGAATGAATAATTTCACAAGTACCAATACTTGCATTATATTCCTTATATATGCTTTAAGCAAAGGCAAGAACAAGTTACACAATATTTTGATATTTTAAGTATGTGAATTCCTACTGGCACCTCTAGAAGGCTGATTTGCAAACAAATTAATCTCAGCACCTACAAAGGGAACCCTTTACATTTCTGTATAGAACAGTGCACAGATTTTTTCCCTCTTAATCTAAAAGATTCCACCAGGTTGTGAATCATTTTCTCTTCAGTGACAGTCACATATAATACAGGTATGACTCCGGTTCCTGTGGATGAATGATGCAAGAACCTGATAGAATTCTCTGGACTACTTCTATGGCAGAGGAAATGAAATCTGAAAGACTAAATGTCTGATATCCTACATGGATCCTGCAACCACCCTTCCTCCTCGGATCAGTTATTCTGGGTAAAGAAAAAGCACAATAAACAAACATTTCTTCAGTTTAGGTAAAAATGCAGCACAGTTATTCCCTGATGTTTGTTTTTTTTCTGCTTAAGGCATGATCTCACCCAAAATACTCCACCAGCCGAAGCGGTGAGGTGGGATGATCTGAAGGCAACCTGACGGCGAGAAGGTCAGCCCAAACTCTGACGTGTTTTTATATCCGTTTCTTTGAGTGTCCTTTTTCATTAAAATGAGGAAATGTTCACATCTGACAAACTGTCTCATCACATCAGCTGTGACCGCTGCATTCATTTACATCTGATGTTCCTAACATGTGTTGCACACAATGTAAGATGAGTTTCATCCTCAAAAAATATCACATGCATAAAAATGCAGACAGATCCTTTCTACTGCAGAGTTACATCTGGGGCAAGCAGATCCTACACATCTCCATTCATGCTCATCCACCTGAACTCCGGCAGCATCTGTTGTACTTGCAAAGTCTATCACAGACATCG